ACGATAAAGTATCAAGATAATGCGTATGTGTGTTGTGTAAAATTAATGACTTGTGCCCTTTTATAGGTGAGATCATGTAGAAGCTGACGAGTTCTTATCAGACTATAAGTATTCCTCGTGTCTACCTCTAAATCAGGACAGATATTTCATATCTTAAGAGTCCTTGAGATTGTGAACCTCATCATGACTTGATCACAAAGCCACCTCCGGGCTTTGGTCCCCTCGGCAGAACCCTCCGACTGAGCTGCCTAGGCGATCACATCTGTCTAGCTCATCACTCTTAGTATCCCGCCTAGCTCACGTCGAGCTATCCTCCGCCTAGCTGGTTGAACTATGCCTAGCTGGTTGAGCCATGCCTAGCTGATTGGACTACGCCTAGCACCCATCTACTTCAAAAGTATCACGAAGGACGCCCACACCGAGCTCCCTCATCCCTGGGGAGGTCACGCCTAACTATGATTAAGTTCGGCCTATGATCGACCCTTTATGAACTGCTACTTATGGTCGTATCAGGTAGCATTTTTTGATATATGATATTTAAGTTGACATCATGTAATTTTATTTGATTTTTCAGTTTGTTTTAGAAAAAAAAAAAAAAAAAACCAATAGACATTCTAATGGAGATTAAATTTTCTTAAAACTCTATAGAAATTTTCGTTGGAATTGTTTTCTCTGCAGATGATTAACAATTTTTTTAAATTGTCAAAACACAACAAAAATTTCAATGAAATTCGATAGCTAGTAATGTCAGAAAAGAGATAAAAATAGTAAGAAAATGATAGTTTATAGTAAAAGGTAGAATAAAATTGCGATTGTCAAGCCTTTTAAAATAAAAATGTAAATATGTGTTTATATATTTTAGTTATATTTTTCTTATAGTAATATGAAAAATAAAAGTAATCACTTCCTATTATATAGCAACAACAACAACAATAATAAAAGTGAAATTTGGTAAAGTTCGATCCTATCGGTGAGGACAATGTCGTTATCAAATTTTCACACAATCGACATATATCCATGTAGGTGCCCGGTGAGGACATCATTCGCACCCGTAGATCCAATTTTCCTACAATTAGGGGACGATTGGATATAAGATTTTCTTAATTTTTTTTGGGGGGATTTATTTTTTGTTAACCGTGGTTTATTTTAAAAAATATGGTATAGCTAGATGTTAGTGAATTTTGAGTTTATGTTAAAATATTATTTAAAATAAAATAATTAAAGTTGATTGATGTAAAGTTATTATATAGATAATGTAAAGCGATTGTTAGTTAAAAATATTAAGTGAATTAATGATAAATTGATGTGATGTTTAAGAATGATTAACTGATATTATTTAATTATAATATTAATATAAAGACAGTGAATTTGAACTAAAGTTGAATTAAATTTGAGTTAAAATGAGTGATTGATTAAAAATAATTAAATTTTTTTTTATCCAAGGAGAAACCATATGAGCCTAGAGATTGGTGGAGATTTATTTGATGAGTAGGATCATCTATCTTATACTCACTACATGTGTATCCAACGTTTAAAATATCCAACGAAATGAAACCGTAACGGCCCTAACGGGAGCATAGCATTTCCCATCGTTTACCAAACCGACAAAAAGAAACTGCAAAAATATCAAATAGCACCAGCATCTAAACCAACCCCACCCCAAGTCAAAACCCTGCAAGAATAATGCCCATAAACCACAAATTGTTTTCCCACATTTGATTTGCAGTAACCCATGCCTTTCACAACCACTAATTTATTCATTTTTCTTGAAGAACGAAATAAAGAATCTTTCGTTCACACACAACTAAAACCTACTCATAAAAACAATACATTTGAATATTTGATGGCTCTATCTTTTTATTTTTTTTATTAATATAAAATTATAAATATGTAAATAAAACAGAAAAAAAGTTCAAATATTTAATATCATCTCCCTTATCATAGCCATAAACAACTTATTCTGAGAATCTCCTTCCCCAAATCCATAGCCAAAAAGCCTGAGCACACCATTTGCAGTCATATTTCTTGCTGAAATAAAATATAGACTCACCCAAAAGCAAGCCATAGAGAGAGAGAGAGAGAGAGAGAGAGAGAGAGAGAGAGAGAGGGAGAGAGAGACTTCTTGTGGCTGCCCAGAAGTGAGAAAGAAGAGAGAGAGATATGTGTGTTCAAGAAGCAGAGCAAGTGACTGAGGGAATGGAGGACATGGGCTTCCAAGAAGATGATGATAACCCTAGCTTCAAGCCCATGACTTGCAATTCTCAACTTGATTTCTCTAACACTCACAGTCATAATCCATTCCAGGTTAGTTGAAATTCTTCCTTCACTTTTAGGTTTTTAGTATGATTTTGAATGTCAATTTGGTATGTATTTCTTGTAAAATTGAGTGTTATGAAATTATGTTCTCCAGTTTTTGGGTGGTTGGTTTATTAGTTTCAGGTTTATGAGGTGAAAAAATAAAAGGGATAGACCAAAACAAGATTTGGGCTTTCTTGGTGGTAGAAAATGTTGTTCTCATATGAGCTGTAGAGAAAGATTGCAGCTTTTTCTGGGTATATGTAAATTTGGGTAAGATTGTTGTTTTGGATCCTTTGCTTCAAGTGGGTTTGGTGTTTGATTGACATATGTGGTTTGTGGGTGTGTGATGATTGGTCTTTTTTTAACCAATCAAATTATTTGTAGATAAAAGATTGCAGCTTTTTTGGGTATTTGTAAATTTGTTTGGCAAGATTGTTGGTTTGAATCCTTTGCTTTAACTGGGTTTGGTGTTTGATTGAAATGTGTGGTGAATTGGAGATGGGAAAATCTGTGGGTGTGTGATATGATTGGTCTTTTTTTAACGAATCAGATTATGTGTCTTTATGGTTGGGCTCATTGTAAACCTGGTTTTTCATAGTATAGTTTGTAGCCTTCTGATTGACTAGTGATTAGTAGTTAAAACTCGATTTTTGATCGTATGCGGAAACCATGATATAATAACTATCTTTGCAAATTTTTCGAATGAACGACAAGTTATACTGACCTTACAACTGTTGTGGACATAGTTTAATCTTCAGATTTTCATTTCCCTGATGGATTATTCTGTGTCTTATGGAATTGAAAACTTTCTTTGCATAGCTACGCAAAAAGTCCTTTTATTTATTTTTTTCCTTAATTCTTTCGGGAAACACTGAAAGGCCGTTGAGCTCGTATTGAGTTTTTTGATAATTTGTTTCACTTCCCAGCTGGAAAGCATTTGCGAGAACTCCACTGTTTCTGAAAGAATGCACTTTGTCCCTATCCTGCGGTCGGGAGATTGGTCGGATATTGGAGGCCGGTTGGATATGGAGGACACTCATATTTGTATTCCGAACTTGGCTACTAATTTTGGTTACGATTTAAGTGGTGCAGAAGCTATATCCTTTTATGGCGTAAGTTCCTCTTTGTTCATTTTTTTCTTTACTATTCTTTTTTTTTTATCATTTTCTTATATCCAGTGCTTGCAGTATGAACAGCTAAACCTATTTTTCAGTCATTCGAAATTTAAATTATGAATGTATAGATTTAAGAACAGAGACTAAAGCTTGTCCGATGAAATTGCAAAATTGTCCTTATTCAGCTTGATCTTGTCGAATGTGGATGGTTGAAGCAACAAACTTTTATATCATCATACGCTTTATCTTGCTTGCTCGAAGAACGGATATTTCAAGGATTTGGGGTTTCATTTTGATTACTTGCAACATACCAAGAAGCTGCACTTTTATTCCTTCTTTTAAGATAGATAGTCGAAATGTTTGTTAGAGTTTCTAACTTTTTTTTCCGATTCTTGGGTTTGAGGACAGGTGTTTGACGGGCATGGCGGGAAATGTGCAGCTCAGTTTGCACGTGACCACTTGCCGAGAATTATTGTTGAGGATGCCGATTTTCCCTTGGAACTCGAGAAGGTGGTAACGAGATCTTTCATTGAGACTGATGCAGCTTTTGAAAAATCTTGCGCAATTGAGTCCAATTTGTCATCTGGAACAACTGCTCTAACCGCTATGATTTTCGGAAGGTAAAAGCCGCTTCATGTCCACTATTTATAGGCTGTGTTGGTAAATCTAGCTAGCTGACAGCAGATAAGTTAGTTGATAGCTTTTAAGTGAATTTCGAGCTTATAGCTGGTAGATTATGACTTATGGCTGAAAAACTGGTTTATATGATAAAAAAAGTTTGTTAAAATTAGCGGATAATAAGCTAGCTGAAATAAAATTTTCAACGGGCTTATTTGAAAAGCTACAAGCTTATGAGATAATACAGGAAGTTTATAGTTTATACGCTAACCAAATAAGTTATACTTTAGTTTAGTTTATGGTGCTTACCAAACACAACCTTAGTCATTATAGTGGTCCATATTATGCATAGCCTAGCTGAAAAAATTAAAAATGCAATGATTAAAGTCGACAAAATATGGGATTATTAAAACAACAATTTAAAATGACCGGTAAATGATAAACAGATCATTGCTCGTTGCAAATGCGGGGGACTGTCGAGCCGTGCTATCTCGATCCGGATTCGCCATTGAGATGTCAAACGACCACCGTCTTACTTGCTTGAACGAGCGGTCGAGAGTCGAGTCCCTTGGTGCTTACGTGGACGATGGGTACTTGAATGGCCAGCTGGCGGTGACTCGGGCCTTGGGCAATTGGCACATCAAGGGCCTAAAGGGGCCCAAAAACGATGGGCCCCTCATTGCCGAGCCCGAGCTGAAGCTGATCACTCTCACAAAGGAGGACGAATTCTTGATCATTGCAAGTGACGGTATATGGGACGTGTTCAGAAGTCAAAACGCGGTGGATTTTGCAAGGAGACGGTTAAAGGAGCACAATAATGTGAGGTTGTGTTGTAAGGAGATCGTGGATGAGGCAAAGAAACGTGGGGCTACCGATAATCTGACGGTGGTTGTCGTGTGTTTTCATACGGACCCGCCAAAGTCGGTTGTGGTGCAGAGGGCTAGGGTGAGGAGGTCTATTTCAGCAGAAGGGCTTCAAAACCTTAAATTTCTACTTCAAGGCTAAAAATAAATAAAAATGACAAACTGTTCAATTTTTTTCTCCCTGGTTTCGAAAACTCGCATCGTCGTGAGTGAGAGTTTTTAGAGATACGATACGACAGAAGATGATAAATTTGGCGTTGCCAGTAAGTTGTAAATATGCCGTTGATACTTTAAAAGCTCCCATTTGATTGTTCTACAGGAATAAAGCATGAGCATAAGATTCATGTAGGTGTTGCGAGGCATAATAATAGGAAGGGATGGCTATTATAAATATGGACACAATTGTAATGACTATAAACATTTCATTCTGATAAACAAATTTTTTATGTATCATTTGAACTTCTGGCCATCCGTCCGTTTTTCTAGATTATATTTCGCACTATATATTTAATTTTAGCTGTCTATTTATCTTTTTTTTTTTTTTTTTTTAATGCTACTGTAAAAGAGTGTCCTTTAGTGCCTTTGCTAACCAGTTTTTCAATAACATAAAATCAAGTACAAATAATATGGACAAACATTAAGGTGGAATCTAGATTATACCAGCACTATTACAAATTATATAATATTACAAATTAAATTATAATATTACAAATTAGTTGTTCCAACAGAGCATATTGCATTTGTTGCATTTGTAGGTTAAACTGTTGCAAGTGTTTACAAATCAGTTACCTTGTCGAGTTGTTATGTTATATAACTTTCATGTTTTCTATTTATTGATGTACTAAAATTTTATTTTGTAATTTTTGTAATATTAAAATAAAATTATTTAAATAAAAGTTTACCATAATTTTTTGTAACGCAATACACATCTTCAGGTAACAAATTAATTTATAATAAAATGATAAATTGTTGGACGAACAAACATTAACTAAGGAATTTATTTGAATGACTTACATTATAAATTGAAAATTTTCTTAAATCTTATTTAATATTTTAGTAACTCCGTAATATTTTAATAAATACTTGATACATGTTCTAGTAAGTAATATAATCTTTATCCTTGATATATATTTTAGTAAATAATATAATCTTTATATACATATTGTTTACTTTGTATAATGATTATGTACACATTGTTTATTTTATATAATGATAATAATTTAAATAATAAAAATGTGTAAGACAATATATCTAATTAACTTACATTTGTAAAAAAATCATGTATGTGCACAAGTGTGGACTGCATGACAGTATACCTTTTGCCTCGGCTCTCAAAAACAAAAAAAAATATAGCAGCCATCGAAAAATATCATCAACGAACGATCACGCCCAGCCAAAGCCACCTACCTTGACTCACCTTCCCTTCAATCTCATTCTTCACCACGCGTATCAACAAAAAACCAGCGAAAATTATCGAGACAATAAGCATGAAGAACACACTATTCCACCCTCTAGTCGAAATATAACCGGCAAGAAGTGGGCCCAAGGCAGCACCCACAGAGCCCGTGCCATCAATAATTGCCGTGACTGTGGCCAGCGCACGTGAATTCCCAAAAACCGTGCTCTGCGTGCCAAGGTCAGCTGCAACAGCTGTCGTTATTAGGGAGTAAGGTCCATTAACGAGCAAGCCAGATAGGAACATTAGTGACGTGTTTGCCAGCATGGATATGTTACCATAAACACGGTAGAGTATGAGGGATGGGATAGAGAGGAATAGGAACATAATTGAAGTCACGGCTCGGGCCTCGATTAGGTCAGATATAAGGCCCGCCGAAATTCCACCAAAGACTCCTCCAATGTCGAAGATTGTCGAGAGGATCCCTGCGGTTTTGTGCGAGAGGTGAACACCAGCAACAGCTGCAAAATTTACGAGAAGCAAAATATTTATATTATGAGCTTCCTTACATAGATGCAGAACTCTAGCTAAAGGTAAATTGGCTTCCTAATTGCAAGTTCACATTTTCATGCATCGACGGACTCAATATTTCTAATAGCTGCACAAACTAAAAGGTAAATTACGACCGAACCACTCAGACACGTGTAAAAAGTAAAAACCAAACATATGTGGATCCAATCACGATCCTTAATAAGAACAAGAGATCTTTCTCAATCAATCCCCTTGCCTCAAATTCTTCGAGAATCAGAAAGGTCCTTTTCAAGTTTGAATTTTGTAAACTTCTAGGAGCTCATGTAGCTCATGCCGGGTCAATGTATTTTAGGCTGGAGCAATGAACCTACTTGAAGTGGCTCATTTTTTGTACCAGAGAAACTCAATACCCTTCCTGCTGCAGCTTACAGCCAAATTAATATTAGTTACTCCAAAGTCCACATTTCCAAACATGTTTAAGCATTCAAATTTATCTCCCTAGGCTGCACTTTCGACAATAAAAACAGTAAAGAAAAAAAACAGAAACACACTCAACACCTGTGTGTCTAATGTAAAACGGCAGCCAATACAAAAACGTGTAAGCCACCAACTTTGAGAAGAACAAGCAGAATGCGTAAGATGCCACATAAGGAAGCCTCCACGCGTCCAAGAAACCTATGGCGGCCGAGCTCTCATCATCTGTGGGCACCCCCACAATTCCATCCACAACACCCTCATTTTTGTCTGACCCGACCAATGCCAAACCTTCCACAGACATCTCAACATCCCCACCAGACGACTCGAACCCGACAATCTCAGGATGCACGACAAGAAACCAGTAAACAAAACCCGACACTACCACAATAAGCCCGCCGGGCAGAAGGAAAGACCAGCCCCACCCGAAGCCCAATACCGAGGAAGCCACCACGGAGCCGATAATGTTACCCACAGAGGTGTGAGAGTTCCATACACCCATTATCAGCCCTCTCTTGGCCTTCCCGAACCAGTTGCCGACAACGGCCACCACGCAAGGCCACCCGATGGACTGAAACAGCCCACAGAACACCTGAATGAACACAAATGCGGCGAACGAGTGCAGATCGAGGAAATAGCACAGCCCGAAGAGCATCACGAAGGCGCCGCTGCCGACCATACCGACGGTGAGGAAGACCCTCAGATCAACTGTGTCGCCGACGTGGCCGGAGAAGTACATCCCGACGGCGTAAGCAAGCAGGAAGGAGAGATCCAGCTCACCGAGGCGGTGGGGACCACGCGGGCCGTCGAACGGGGCCCACCCGCTCTCGTTGTGAAGTGGGTTCGGGGCGGATTTGAATTGGACCTGATCGGAATCGGAGGAGTTGCCCGCTAGGGTTTGGTTGGGCGGGGCCGTGAGGATCGATTTGACTATGCTGGGTGGTTTGCGGGAGGCGTGGAAGGCGGCGTAGGCGGCGAATGTGAGGGCGAGGACGAGGAATTGGTGGAATCTGTGGGTTTTTTCAGGGGCGGCCAAGAATCTCAGGCCAGGTGGCGGCTGTGACGGTAGAACATGATGGTGGTTTATCATAGTGCAAAGGTTATTTTGGGAAAGGTTTAATCTTTATATGTTTGTTTGGCAAAGATTAGATGATCTTGAGTTTTTGCAGTATAGTCTGAGATTGAATTGTTTGAAAAGTTGATCTTGAGTTTTTGCAGTATAGATGATCAATTGAATTTTGTTCTGATATGGTTGAGCAATGGTTATAAATTGTTTCATTTCATTGGTCAATATGGGACTTTTGAACATTATATAGTAAAGAATAAGATATGATTTGGAATTATATGATGTAAGAATTGTATTTATTACTTGTTGTAGATCTAACTTTGAAACTTTGTAGGCCGTGGCATATACTCATCCCCGAAATAGGTCTAACATATAGTGGACTACTACTCTCATCAACCAATTAATTTTTTCGATGAAACTTTACTATGTTGCGACTAGACTCACTCTCTTACTGTGCGCTTCACTTGTGTGAGACCGCACCCTTGATCCCTCGATTGAAGAGGTTTGCTTAGATGAATAATGGCCTAGAAAGATAGATATTCTGTCCAAATTAGCAAATGAATGCTTAATTTCCTTCTTTTAACTTAACCATCTTTTCTGTTTATTGTTAAGAGTCCACTGTTATATACTACTTCACTCTAAAACAAATAAGTTATATAAAAGGCAGAAATATGTAGATGAACGCGAAAATGAAAGGAGAGACCAAAATGATGAGATTATAAGAAATTTGATTGCACTTTAAAAATTGCACAAACTGGTCTGAAGGAAGGTGAGTTATTATGAGTGTTATCCTTGAGTGCTTCAAGTTAAATGTGCTCAAGTATAACATAAGTTGACATCTGAAAATACAAGATACAACAGAAAAAAGTTTGAGGAAAATATATAAAATGTCAGATAACAATCCTACAAGGCTAGCTACTGCCCTCTTGAAGGCTTTATTATTCCGAACACGATCGATCGACATCAAACGAGACCCAAAAATCTTGCAAAAAAAAAAAATAAATAAATTATAATAATCCAAGTTTAAAGATACTTGTTTAGCTTTCATGCAATATTTTTCTTGGACCTTTTTCTCAAGATCCGGGTCATGGCGTAAGCTAGCGACATGGCCGGGTTCACCCTAACCGACCCATTGAACGCCTTACAAACTTTCATGTGCGCATTCAGAGCCTCCTCGCGAACGATATTCCTTATGCCTCCGAGCTTGTACGACTCCTCGTTTATCGCCTCGGAGCAAAGCCCGCAAACCCAGTTCCCATAGAAACGGACCCTCGTGAGGCGTATGTAGGCCCCCGTGCAGTCTTCAGACAAGCCACAACACTCGCACTCGACCGATCGCACGTCGAAGCTCGAAGTCGAGTGGTTTTGAGTAGGGAACCTTAAATCCATGTACTTAAATATGCCCCTTTCTCTATGATGATGATCTGTAGTCTTTTGGACCATGTCTAAGGATAGTCTCCTAGTATTTCTATTTGAAAACATTTTTTTTTTTAGATTGATTGTGAAAAAAATGCCTATATGTTTGTAGGGTGTGGGTGAATATATTTATAGTAATATAGGTGTGTGGTTAATAATAGGTACAACGGTCTCATTGTATTGTGTTTTGTATTGAAGAGTGATAGGTGGTGAAAAAATTGAAACCCAACTAATGTTTTCGTAGTAAAGTGTGTGTGCTATTAAATGAACCGTGTGAAATGGGGCACACTTATTTTGGGGACTCAATTGAAGGATATGATATGATGATGGTGATATAATCCATTTGTTAGGTGGTTTCAATTTGGAGCATATTGAATTCTATTTAGGCCATCTCCAGCCTTTATCTCTACTCTAGCGCGGACTTTACTCTACTATAAAGTAGAGTTGAACATTCATCTTCAGTCCTTATCTCTACATTTTACTCTACATTAAATATATTATTTTTTTATTCATTTTTTATTTCAAATAAATTGGTATATATGTATACTTAATTTTATATAAAATGTTAATTACTCAAATAATAAAAATATAGACCGTATATGGTTTAGGACATATATTTACAGTCTAGATTTTCTTAGTCTGGAGATGGTCTAAGAAAAATCCATATATGCACTAAACCATATATGGTTTAGGGCATATTTACAGTCTAGATATATGGTTTAGTGCATATATGGTCTAGACTGTAAATATGCACTAAATCATATATTTTAGATAAGAATCCTACGGTTGAGATGTAAATAAAATTATAATACATTAATAAATAAAAAGCACAAAATTTTTAACATAAAAATACATTGCATAAAGTTATTTAGCATAAAAATACAATTATTAAAACACAATATATACAAAAATATCATAATATTACACTAAAAATACACAAAAAAAAAAAAGAAAAAAATGTGGCGCTGCGCTACAGTGTTGCGCCACAACTGGCGCAACACTGTTCATATATCTCATCTAGCGCAGAATTTCAGCGCAGCATTGGAGGCATATTTTGACACAACTCCAGCGTATTGCTTCAGAATAAAGCAGCGCTGGAGATGGTCTTATCCTCAATTTCGATTTCGAGCTGTTGGGCAGACCTAACTGTTAGACATACGGTTAAATTTATTAACTAGTATACATACCTTCATACACACGTGACAGATTTTTAAAAAATAATATAAATAAAAGTTTCATATGTTAGGCGGTGTAACGGTTATGTTGTCTTACATAAGAATATGTGTTTGTCGAAAAACCCAGAGTTGAAACAGGACAGTGATAATCAAGCAAATGAGGTACAATTATTATTATTATTATTATTATTATTATTATTATTTTTTTTTTTTAAGTTGCTGATAAATATTTGGTCATGAATTCATGGCATACATATGATCAAATCCAAAGAAAAAAAAAAGGTGGCAGATTGAGCTAATTTTTTGGTCCTGAATTCATGACATCCATTCAATTTTTAGTTGGTGTGTTCCCAGTTGTGGAGGCAAAAGAAATGTGCTTTTGTTATTATTATTATAACATTTTATTTTATTTTATAATAATTTAATATAAATATATCTCTCCAAAAATAAATTTGACCACAACTCTAAAACTATATTATATTTATTGATAGGTATTAGTACACAATTAGGACTGGGACCGGTCCGGTTCCTAACGATTTTTTCAGGAACCGGAACCGGAACCGAACCAAAATAACCGGTTCGGTTATTACACAATTATTTATAGGAACCGAAAAAG